ATCTCGAGATCCATAAAAGCTACAAGGCTGAAACTTTGGTAACTTAATCTACACATACGTGCGGGCCCCTATCCTCAAAATGGACAATTGGTCCGCGTGGTTCTCACGTACGAGCACGTGAAAGTTTTTTTGGCGAGAAAGCGTTTTCGGGAACGGCCCATGCTAAAAGGCTGGAACTTCACAGAGTTGTTCCTTGGCCGCGTCCAATACAAAGATTTCAAATTCAGCCTTCACGTACCCCCAGGTCTCACGTACGCACACGTTAAAGTTTAAACTGGCATCATGCCAATTCCGGATTTAAGCTGACCAGTAAGTTGCAGAGAGCTGCAATTTTGCAGCGTTACTTTTCGCCCATTGTTGTGTCCGCAAAAGTAAATAACTTGTCAGCTGTTCTGCATCTCACGTACGAGCACGTGAGATTTTACGTAACTCTGCAACCAGAGCAGCTGGAGTGCTGAAGATTTCTGAGTGTTACCCAGGACCGTATTTGAGCAACCGCAGGCAAAGAAGCCATCCACGTTCCACCTACCCATGAACGCGTAAAATTTGACGTAACTCCGCAACCGAAGCATCCACAGCGCTGAATTTTTTGAGCATGGATTGGGAGTCATTGTAAAAATTTCTAACAGTCGTGGTGGCCAGTACCAATTCTCTTAGCTAGAAGCATCTGCCGGGAAGAACGTGCCGCTGGCGAAAAAAACCTGGGGGTGGGGGAGGGGAACTGTGCAAAAAGCGCATCCTCGCACCCAGCAGCCGGTACGCTTTCGATTAAGTTGCATATATGCAAATGCAAAAACGCATACTGCGACGACCCCGGAGTGTGTGTGTGCGTGTGTGTGTGTGTGTGTGTGTGCGTCTATCCGGTATTTCAATTTTGGTGCCGAAGCAAGCTCCGGCGCCAAAATTTTGTGAGTGAATTCCCCGGCCAAATGCCACTCCAGGACCGCAGTTCCAGTCCTCACGCACGTCCAGGCCCCGCGTACGAGCGCCTCAAAGTTTTGGCGGGAAAATCGCTAACTTGGGAACCAGAAAAGCTAGAAACCTGAAATTTTGGGATTATGTTTCCCGTCCATATAGAACTCAAAGATTTTAAATTCAGCCCCCAGGTGTGCACATTTCCCGCCTACGGCCCAGTGAGGGTTCCTGGCGTGAAAATCACTAGCTTGGGAACCAAGAAAGCGGGGGGCTGAAACTTTCAGCGAATGTTCGCAGTTCATTGCAACTCATATTTATCAAACTCACCTCCCCCCCCCTACGCGTGGTTTCCACGTACGGCCCCGTGAAAATTTTTGGCGGAAAAATGGATAACTCAAGAACCAGTAAAGCTGGGAGGCTGGAATTTTCAAAAAATACTGCTAATACATGTTCGGCTCAAAATTACCAAATTCAGCTCCCGAGCATGCGTGGTTTTCACGTGCGACCCTGGAAAGGTATTTGGCGCGGAAATGGCTAATTCGAGAACCAGGAAAGCTGAGAGCTGAAATTTTCAGAAAATGTTCTCAGCCCATGTACGACTTAAATTTATCAAACTCAGCCCTCGGGCATACGTGGTGCTACGGACGGCCCCGTGAAAATTTTTGGCAGGAAAATTACTAACTCAAGAACCAGAAAATTTGGAAAACTGAAATTTCAACGAGTTGTTCCCCGTCCACACTTCCCGGATTTCGAGGACCAGTATACCACACATTTCTAGCTACTGGCTTCCGAGCGATCTCATTACAGTATGAATTGTTGCAAAAACGCATGATCGCACGAGCCCGCCCAGTGCGCGTCACCAATGATTTTTTAATTGCTTTCCTCTCATTCTGAAAAAGGCAAACTAGTTATTTCTCATCTGCTTTTTAACAGCATCATCTATCTTAATTTTATTGTAGATGGTACGCTTCGCTAGCTCTATGCGCTGCATTTTCACTGAAAGCGCTCTACTTCCTTTTCGCATTGTGCTTTGGCTGCTTTGGAAGGCAACCAGATGAGTACGGCAATGACTGTTGCATTCAGGCCACAGGTGCCAGACTTTTCACGTGGTACGGAATCTCTTCTTCGTTTCTATTTGCTTTTCGAGTTCAGACATACTTCCCGCAATAATCTGCTCTGTCGTCTTTCCAAGCGACGGTTCCGATATGAGATCATGCAAAAAGCGGTGCCCAAGAGCAGTACACCTTTTAATGCTTTGTAGCAACGAAGGTGTACACACAGTCGAAGTTTTTTGTTCTATGCCAAAACTATTAGCCTTAGGCCATTGGTGTCTCGGGCAATTTGGTTTACAGGAAGCTTACTCACACATTATCAACACAGTAAGAGAATGAAAAATATTTAGTGGAATTTGGCTAGCGGTGGTAATATTGCCGGTGATTTCTGCAGTGACTGCTCTGCTGCTATTCATTGGAACCAATGCTTATTCGCTTGTATGCTGGCCTCTGGACGAACCATTCTCAAGACCTGATATACTTTCGGTATGCTGCTTTAATCAGATTAATGCAAACTGCTGCAAGCGCCCATCGAGAAAACCCCCAATTTTTGGATAAGTAATTGCTGGACACCATCAGATGCAATAAAAATTTGATAAAAACAGGGTAAAATCAAGCTGGAAGGATTCCATTATTTGGGAGACGTAAATTCGGCTTTCGACGACGACAAACTGATTTACACTACTTCCATGCCAAAGTGATTTAGGTCAACACCAAATCTACTACAGAATCGGCTGGAAAAATCCAGTGCAGAATAGGCGTGCGTGCGGTTTTTCCAGGAAAAAGTTTTTCCAGGACGTCTCTTGAAGCAGAAAGAGGCTAAAACTGAAGAGCGGTCCTTCTAGTCCCTGGGACATAGCTGCAAGCAACGAAGTGACTATAGAGCAGTTGATGGCCAAGATTAAACTCCTTTTAACCCGATTGTTCTGAGGAAGCCGAATAAGTCATGTTAGCCTCAAAGTATGCAAAACTACAACTGTCAAAGGTGATGCGAGTTGCAGCTCAGTGAACGAACGCTGGATGCATGGCGCAGCAAGCAGGTAGCTGAGGACCTGTCGCCATTGATAAACCAGATCTCGCTCACCGATACGATCCGCTCATGCATGCAAAACGAAACTCTCTATCACATGTTTTCTATGGATAAGAAATTTCATTTGTACGAATTACGTGGGTACGGCAGAGAACTATACGACCGATTAGCGCAGAACGTACAGACTGCCTTCTCGGACGTAAACATATCCAGGCCAATTGCTGCATTCGCTTCCCCCGCACAGCTTCTTCTTCTGCAGCGCTTCTTCAATTTTACCGTGGAATCAAATATCCAGCAAATCTTTTCCCAGGTTTGCTTGGTTTTCACTGTCAAAAAACCTCCGTAAATTCTTGAAATGAGATTCGAAAGTGAAATTGTTTTTTGCTAAAAGTGCTTTTTTGTATAATGATTCGCATCTTCTTTTTGTGTTGACCTAAAAATGACACTGAGTTAAGTGGACTTACCCGTCGAACTATCCTAATCAAATTCTGCGGGACCAACAAAATTCATTCTAACTAGAAATTTCAAAATTCATTTGAAAATTAAATTGTATTCAGTTTATCATTTGTACCGCCCTGCAATCTTGACCATGTTATTTCACGAAATTTTTCTTTTTTTCATGCTGGCACATTTCAGATCAAAAATGGCCTGGAGCGGCTTGACAAAGTCTCAAAAGTAGTTTCTTTCACTGAGGAGTTGAATGATGGCGGAAAACTTCCAAGGGTCGTAGAAATAATTGCCAAACAACTGCATGCCATTCAGGTTAATTCTTCGCTACGTTGTTGTAGGCCTGTACTGCGCGCGTCTTCAAGTTACAAAGGCAGAAACGATTCCGCTAAAATGCATTAAAATGAAACACTACTTCAGGTTTCAAGCCTGGCTAAAATCCAAGCAAAGGCAAAACCCAGGCTGGAACGC